AGGGTCTGGGATGAATCACAGTACAGGATTAGTGTGTACTGTGTGACGAGGGGTGCTTACTGAGATTCACAAGATTACAGAAATAACAGCAATTTAAAGTTCCTTTACAAATTAGTTCATATACAACTTAGTTGCTGAGTAATTTTGGAAGTGTTCACTTCTTTTTATATCACCTTATATTTGGGCAAATACAGTATATATCAAAATACACGTGTACAATTTTATAAAAAAGAATCTTACTGTGTATATATATACTTTTTTCTTTTGCCATGCATTTCTTGGCCTCATAGTATTTTATTGTCAGACTCTACTGTCATTTAATTAACTAATTCTCCATTATTGGATATGTCCACTTATTGCGAATTAGGTCCCTTGGCTTCATAGTACTTTTATCAAAAGCATCTTGGTATTTTTACTTGTCATTTCTTTTTAATACCCTGAAATCCCCCTTCTTTCCTCTTTTCAAATTAACTCAGTCCCTGTCACTTTACTGAGCATTCCATATTCTGTCAATGAGTTTTTCTCCAGTTATTTCCTTAAAGTTCATTATTACGTTGGTTAGATTATTAATAGGAAATAGAACATATTAATCATTTTATAAGTTGAAATAAGTTGAGGATTGACTGTAATCATATTTCATGATTTGATAAAAAATATGTTGGTTAGATTTATTAAGGTGTAAATCATCTGTGAAGAGCATATTTTTGAGTTAATTCTAATGGTAATCTTATAAATATATAACATGGTGTTTCTCAGAGGACCCACGAACTTTGTAAGATAGTATTTTAACATTTCCATCGTAATTTGGACCATACTTTGTGACCCCTTATACAGAAAACTTGGATGGAGTAAGAAATAAGAGTGTTTATTATATTTTCCAGACATTTGACATTTATGACTAGGGCAAATGTCCTGTGCATGTGTAATTTCTTTTGGATTAAGTCTGATTTTTCAGCATACATGTTTTCTAAATACACAGTTTCACATTTTTGCTAACTGAAAAAATGTTGCTGATACTTCATATCAAAAATTCAGAAACTATTTTCTTATCCTCTAGTTACTATTTCTCAGTGAATATTTGTTCCTTTTTTTTGTACTCAGGAAAAATTTCAAAGATTTGATCAGTGAAGCAACATTTGATTAACCACTTAATTTGCCTTCCAAATTGTATTTTCAATTTTCTAGATGATTAAAGAAATCAGTCTTATCTTAGTAAAATTGATTGTGAAGGCAGTTGCAAAAAGTATGTCTTTCAAAATGACCCTTTTGAAAGGAATAGTAACATTTGGCTAAATGATTATGATACATTGTGGGTTTTTTTGTTTTTTCAACTGTTTTTTAGCCAAGCTAACTTATTAGCTTGGGTATCAGCATAGTTTTGATATAGGTAGCCCAGTGGGTGCCTGTTTAGATGTGAGCTTCAGACTTCTGCATTGTAATGGTCCTTGCCACTGGCTAGATTGCCTGACTTGCCATAGAAGTGAATTCAAAGTGTCCTAACTTAAGTTTCTTAAGTTGGTGAACTCTGCATCGGGAGGTCTATATAATATATTAGCAGGCTGGTGGCCTGCACTGGGAATATGTCTATAAGATTAATGAAACCATCTGGTAACTGGTTACTTCTAAATTTTTTGTATCTTTCGAAAAAAATTTCCCCTGAGTACAAAAGTACTGTTTTGCACCTCACTGTTTTTCTTCTTCTTTTTTTTTGTTTTTAATTAGTTTAAAAGTGAGGACTTGCATTAAATTGGCTGTTTGGACATTTACTTCGTATATGTTTTAAAGTATCCTTATCCTTTATGAAAATTTAATTCTGGTCATAAATGTCATTTAGTAATGAGCTCCTGTGACCTAACCTAACAGGCAAGAACCTTACCTATTTAAATACAATAAATAAACACAATTAACATGTGCTTTATCTACCTCGAAAGTTTGTTGGAAGAGCACATTAAATAGGAAAAGTAAGGGCATTTTGTTTGTGTGGTAGGTATTGGTTCCTTCCACTTTCTCTGTCTGGAAAAGTGCTTTTCATTTCTGTGGTAGGCCTGTTTTCTTCCTGCCCTTAAATACTAGAAATTCTTGTAAATTTTCAACCATACCTACAGCAAAGAATCTACATGCCATTTGGTACTTATGTTTGGAGTGTGGGGGATTAGGAATTGTTAATAATGAAATATTCAAGAAGGTACTTCGGTTTTAGTATTCTCAAGGTAAATAATTAAAAGAATATGTAAGATTTGTGTTCATTTTGGAACCTTTTTGATTGGTAAGGGAAATTTACAGAGTTTTTGTTTTTTATGAAATGGTATCTCCCAGCTTGAGAGTGGGAAAAACAGTAGCTTTTGAGATTGCTCTGATAAATGTGTGACTTTTGTTTGGAGCAATCTGACTAATCCTAGCAGTTTAGTTATCTTTGTGATGAAGAACATGGAAATTGCTAACAAAAATGTTTATAGGTTCCTTTTAAGGTCTCCCTAGTGGAAGAGAATGACTTGAAAGTAAATAATTACAATGTAGAATAATTTTATAGAATAGAATTATGTGGTAGTTTTAGTGACTGTGGAGGGTGCCTCAGTCTGTGGAGGGGGAAGACTTCATTGAGGAAGTACTTTTTGAAGAATGGGCAGGAATGGAAAGATTTCAGGTGTGAAACAGCAAGATGTATCACAGAAACTAGAAAGTGATTCCTGTGTTGGAGGCTGAGATGTAAGAAGAGGATATTAATGATGGTATGCATTGTTCCCATCCTCTAAGCAGTGGAGATATCATTGAGGTTAGGCAGTGACAGAGACAGTGTTGTGTTGTAGGTTGTTCTGTGGCCATTTTAGAGAATGGTTGGAGGTATGGGGTAGGTGGGACTGCAGGCCAGTCAGATCAGTGTTTCTCATTAGGGGCAGTCTTAATTGTGGAGTACTGATTGTTCATTGCAGGACAGTGAATCTCCCACTTTTGATACCAAATGCCAGTAAAACCCTTTAGACAGCATAATAATCCCCCTTCCCAATTTCCGAAAGCCTCCAGGATAGGTGGTACTCCCCACTTAAATAAATAAGATCTGAACTTTGGCTTTGGCACTAGTAGTGGGATGGAGAGGTTAAGGTGGATTTGCTAGAGGTTTAGGAGGTAGAATCAAAAGGACTTGGGTACTGATGGGATCTAGTATATATATATTAACATACACAGAGGTAGGCATGTATTGGGCAGTATTGTAACATGTTTGACAGGTTCCATTTTGAAAAATAAAAAATAAGATTCTGGAGTAAAATTATTTTTGAAACTATTGTATAATATTTTAAAACTGAGTAGTTTATCAAGATAGTTTCTGGAAGGATATAGAAAAATATATAGGTATATGAAGATAATATAGAGGAAAAAAGGAATCTAGGAATATAACTTCGTAAAATTAAGTTCAAAACGTGATTGCTATGCTTGAAGTTTTAAAGGATTAGAAAAATGGGAGGACATAGATAAGCCTTGCCCTCAGTAGATTATATTTGGAATAAAGCAAGTATAATATGTACAGTACCATCGGACAGGTATAAAGTACTGGGAAGATTCAGACAAGGCAGAGATCAAATTCTTTTTTTTTTTTTTCTTTACTGTCAGGAGCTGAACCATGTGCACCAAAGTTGAATTTACTATTTAATTTTTGTTGTAAGTAATCTGAATTGTGGAAGCCTTGTGTCATTCTGCTGTTCCATGGGCACTCCATTTGACTGTTTTGTGCTTTGTTCTTTAAGCAGTATTGACCAGGGTAGCTGCTTACCTAAAATGCATTTGTTTGTCAGATGTTACTTTGTATAATAATTGGACTTACTAAAGCAAACATTTTGAATGATTATAAGCAGATAAATGTTCATAGTTGCATTGTCGTTTCTTATAAGCAGTCAAGGCCACGTTAGGTCATTTGAATTCATATTTGAACATTATGTGCTGAAGATTAAAAGTGGACAAATTACTAATAAGTCGTGGATAACTCTAATTTTTTTCCCTTTATGATAGTTATGGCTGGATATTTATACAAGTAAAACACCTCATTTCTTGATCTTCCCCTCTATTATTTCTCTAAAGTGGATTATATTTTGTGTTTTCTTCATTGAATTTGCCAATGCTATCTCTTAAGCAGATTGTAGGTAAAACTCTGAGGTCTATTAAGAACTTTTTTTTTTTTTTAGTTTTGGTGCTGAAACAGTTGTATATTAGACTGTTTTATAGTGATGGTTTTCAGTTTGGAATGTCAGATGGGAACTTATATTGCTTAACTGTGTTCAGAGTAATACTGAATAATAGAGGTCCTGGGTCATTTCTGATTGGAAATTAATGCACTAAGAAACTTCAGTCCATTTTCAGTTTTGTTCATCAGTATTAGCTAGCTGATGTCAACTGATATCTGGGCTTAACTTAGTAGAACTGATGGGGAGAGAAGAATGAGAAATATTTTATATAAATAAACTGTGATCCTACCCAATTACAGACCATATCTTTCTCTGTTATCTTCCTATTAGTGCAAACTCAGCACTCTAGGGTTGATATGAATAAAGGTAATTTGACCTTCAGCTTGTTCATGCTTCCATATGGATGATTTCTTTAAAAAAAATTTTTTTTAAAGAAAATTTTTATTTTTAATATTAAAGAGATGAATAATACCAGTATTATAATTCTGAAGGTTTTATGCATAGTAAGAGAACTGAAAGTTCCTCAAGGTCTTGAAACAATTTTTGTGTGTGTGATGAATTAAGCAGTTGAGGGTGAATTACACTCAAAGGGAGTCTGATTTACTTTCTGGTATTATTGATCATTTATGTGATACTAATCAGTACCCTACTTCTCAGGTATATGGTGGTCTCAGTTGCTCTTCTGAGAGATTTTTATCAACTTCTTCAAACTATCTATTGGTGCTTCACTTTGTTAGATCTTTTACTTGTTAGTATGCAAATCTGGCATTAACAATAAATTAAAACCAGAGAGTAAATTAATCTTTTAAAAAATTTCTATTGCAGACTTAATTCAATGCACAAACGAGATGAATGTGAACATCCCACAGTTGGCAGACAGTTTATTTGAAAGAACTACTAACAGTAGTTGGGTGGTAGTCTTCAAATCTCTCATTACAACTCATCATTTGATGGTGTATGGAAATGAGGTAAGCAGAATTTTTGGTTAACAAGTATACTGGTGTGATGACTGATTCCAGCTTGCTTCTCTCACTGAAACCTCGGCAATAAACTTCAGCAGCTGAGTGATACGGGTTAAGAGGGCAAGATGGCATAGCCGGAATTGTAAACCCTGCAATTTGAGGAAAGATTGCCAGTAAGCCAGAAAGCAGAAAGTGGGTTAGAGCACAGAGGACTTCAATCATGGTATCCAGAGGCAAAGATTAATGCCTAGAGGTGGGTTCTATAAGTCTCACTGGTCTTTGCAGACCTCTTTTATAGACAGCATATTTTGTCTATATCCATTTACTTTTTTATTATAACTCAATCACATTTCTTTAAGATATTATATAGTTGTCTGTGGAAGTATTTTGCCTACTTCAAGACTGCTATATTGAGGACTAAGATGGCATTTTGCTGAGAGGGACTGATCGAGGAGTACCTTCTTTAGGGAGGAGTATCTGAAGCCTTTGTTGCCCCAGTGGTAACAGATATATGTAAACTTTTGCAGTTTTCTGTTTGGAGAGAATCATCTTGCTTTCCATGATAGCTTAGCAGCGAATTTATTGGTTCTTAACTTTGAATGGTTTTCTCAGCCCAGTATACTTACTTGTAAAATTGTGTTGAAAGGAGCTATCCGAGAACATTTCAGTGGAACTAGATAAATCTACATTGGTATGTGCCATAGAAAAATACAGCACAGGAAGATTAGCTCTGAGAGATGAGGAGGGACTGTAGTTGTTGGTATTAGACTTCTGAGCATAGACTTACTCGTTAGTTTGGGATTTTTACTCATTAGACTCTATTCTCTTCTTTGAGAAGTACCAATACAGCATTGTTAAAGTTCAGAATTAAAGCAGGTATTTACCCACAACTTTATTGTTCCAATGAATCTCAATGTTGTTACATTTTGGTATTCCCTTCTGGTCCTTGTCCGAAAGCATTTATATTTTTTTTAATAGCCATAATCATAATTTAGATAGAATAGTACATTTAGCTTTTTATATAATATTATACCATAAGCATTTTATGTTCTATATTCTTTATATTTATCATCTTTAATAGCTACATAATTGATTATATATTCCACAATTTAACTATTCTCCTTGCTGGAAATTTAGTTTTCTGATTTTTCATTGTTACACCACCACATTGAGTTATTTTATTTGTAGTCTTAGTTTTTTTTTTTTTTTTTAAACATGGCCGGTAAGGGGATCTTAACCCTTGACTTGGTGTTGTCAGCACCACGCTCAGCCAGTGAGCGAACCGGCCATCCCTATATGGGATCCGAACCCGGGGCCTTGGAGTTATCAGCACCGCACTCTCCCGAGTGAGCCACGGGCCGGCCCTGTAGTCTTAGTTTTTTTTTTTTTAGTCTTAGTTTTTTTTTTTTTTTAAACATGGCCGGTAAGGGGATCTTAACCCTTGACTTGGTGTTGTCAGCACCACGCTCAGCCAGTGAGCGAACCGGCCATCCCTATATGGGATCCGAACCCGGGGCCTTGGAGTTATCAGCACCGCACTCTCCCGAGTGAGCCACGGGCCGGCCCTGTAGTCTTAGTTTTTAAAAACGATTTCCAAAAGTCTTACCTGAAATGTGATCACTAAATCAAGAGACATGACCATTTTTAGGACTTATATGTTACTTAGTTGCTTTCTAATTCATTATAACCAGTTTACAGAGCCAACAGAAATGTTGGGATGTACTAGCTTAAACTTGAAATACTTCAATCTTAACTAAGATAATGGTTTCTATTTTTATCAAGTATGTGTTTATTTAAGGTCATAGTCATTTATTCTGGAGAATTCCAGGCTTTTTATGTATTTCTCAACTTTGTTTTTGATGTAGTTTATTCTTTAAAAAGAAAAAGGCATTGGGCCAGCCCGTGGCTCACTCGGGAGAGTGCGGTGCTGGTAGCACCAAGGCCCCGGGTTCGGATCCCATATACAGATGGCCGGTTCGCTCACTGGCTGAGCGTGGTGCTGACAACACCAAGTCAAGGGTTAAGATCCCCTTACCGGTCATCTTTTAAAAAAAAAAAAAAGAAAAAGGCACACATATAACCAACTACGATGCCAGATAAAGAGGCAAAGTATCAGTGATGGCTTTCAGAAGTTGTAAATAAGGTAATAGAGCTAGAGGCAAAATGTTTATAAAGGCAAAACAAAGTTCATGTCATTTCATAGAACTGAATAACAGGAGGAAAAAAATAGCATTTCAGTGTGGGTTTTAAAAAGATAAACTCATGTTTAGTTTCTGTTAAGCAGCTAAGGCAAATTCCATTCTCTGCTTCTTTTTTATGATAGTTTGTACAACTCTCAGGTTTTCCAATTGGCAGGTGTGATTAGTCTTTGAAGAGAGTATGCATAGGATTTCACTATATTGTGGTTATGGGAATACCATAGAACAGTGGTTTTCAAACTGGGTGGGGAAGGGGTATTTTTTTTTATTTTGTCTCAGAGGATATTTGTCACAACTGGAGGGGGATACTATTAGTATCTAGTAGGTAGAGGTCAGGGCTGCTTCTGAACATCTTGCAATGCACAGGACAGTCCCCAGCAACAAAGAATTATCTGGTCTAAAGTGTCAGTAGTGCTAAGGTTGAGAAGCCTGGCCACAGAAAAAAATTGCAAAAGGTTAAGGCTGAATGGGCATTGTGTCATAGGGCCTTGATGTCAGGCGGCTATGTATTCCTGTCCCATTCCCCACTTATTGACTCGCTGACTTGGGCAAGTCACTTCTTTGAGCTTTAGTTTTCTCATCAATACTATGGTGAAACTTTAATGGGTAAATAGGATTTCGTAAGGCACTTATTATAGCATGACAAGTTGTAGGTGATAAATAAATGAAAATGTAGAATTAAAAATTTGTTCATGAAATTCAAAAAAGAACCATGTATGGATTTAGTATGAAGTATTTGGAGAAAATAATCTAAACTATAATATTAAAACATTTTATTATGAAAAATTTTAAACATACACACAATAGTGGAGAGAGTAATATAGAAAATGCAATCTACCTGTCACCCAGCTTCAACATTTATCAATATTTTGCCATTCTTTAAATGATAGTTTTAGGGTGATGTATTCCAAGTTACCTCTTATGACCCAAAATGGGAACCTGTGAAGCGTTATTGCTTGCCAGATTGGTGGCATGGCACTTAATTTAATACTATTTTGAATATCATTAGGGTGCTGTTGGAAACAAAATCAATCAAAATTTGATTAAAGTCCTATGTCTTTGTAGCTAAATATTGTGATAAAGATAGAAAAGAATAATAAAATGAAAAGAAAAATTTAGATTTATTGTTTCTAAAGTAATGGATGAAATGGCCTTGTAGACTAAAATATTTACATTTACTTCTAGAATGCAGAGATTAAGAAGAATATTTTCAAACCCTACAAACATCATAGAGTCTAATATTGTCTTATGATATTTTAATACCTTTTTGAGACAGATTGTTTTAGAATAATGGCAAAACATGAATCTCCAATTTACAAATTGGTTTTCAAAATTCTGGTTTGTTAATTTGGGGTGATTAACAAACCAGGTGAACAAGATTAAGTTTCAGGGGTTGATGGCATAAATTCTAGTTGAGATTAATTCTCTGCATGCATCTAAAAAATAATAATAAAGAAAGGGCATCCTAAGGAGAAATGAAGAAATAAAGAAAGATGTTTCTTTAGCTGTTTTAGAGGTTTTTTGTAAAGGAAAGTTAAAGTATAAGCACTTTGGAAAGCATCTTGACAGTATTTTGAGAAGGGGAACTTTTACTTACATTTGACCTAGTAATTCAATCATAAGTATATAATCCTAGGAAACTCTTATATACTTGCACATGGAGACCAATACAAGGATGTCAATGCAACATTGTTAATAATAGTGAAAATTGCAAGGAACTTTAATATCCATAAATAAATAATGGATACATAATGATATATTAGTTCATTAGAACTAGAACATCACTTAAAATGAACTAGATCTACATGTATTGAACAGATAATTCTTGGGAAAAGTTGAGCTAAAAAGCACATTGTAAAACAATAAGTACAGTATGATATTTCTGTAAATTAAAATAGAAAAAATATTTATGGTTTATAGCTACTTATACATGTAGTAAAATTGTGAAAACGTGAGGAAGTGATATATACCAACTTCACGAAGTCATCACCTCTGAAGAGGGAGGGAGGGGGATGAGACTGAAGGTATGTTTGTGTCTTCAATGGCGTCTAATGTTTTGATTCTGTAACAAGATCTGAAGTGAATATGTTCATGTGTTCAGTGGATAAGAGAATCTCTATAATATTGTTCTTTTGTATGGTTGCAAGTATTTTGTTTTTTTTTTAAAAAGTCATAAAAATTTGGGACACCAGGTAGCTGTTTAAAATACAGATGCCATCAGAACATGATTAGCCATAGTCCTAAAGTGCTACAATACACCAAAATTACTGGTTTCAGTTTAAAAGTGCCTGTTACCTTTTATTATTTTGACTTTAATACTTTAACTGTGAGCATTGGGTTCTAATAAATTCCCATATACTAGTGAAAAATATGTATTATGTCTTTAGGTTTAGTAACTGGTTAATGGGAGGAGTGAGGATGAGAAATTTAAACAAGATAAGTTTAATGGAATGTGTTAACCATAACTTTTCCTCCTAATTTTCAAATTAGGGTTTGTGATATGGAAGTACCAGGTTGATGTAATTATTTGTTTGTTTTTTTCAGCGTTTTATTCAGTATTTGGCTTCAAGAAACACGTTGTTTAACTTAAGCAATTTTTTGGATAAAAGTGGATTGCAAGGTAAAGACAACTTATTCATGATAGAAAATCAAGAGTGACCCACGTGATGATTACTGTACAGTTGAACTTTGTCTTTTAGAACATGTACTGTTTTAAACCTCATATTTTAGTGAAGGTTGTAGGAAAGGAAAACTGTCTTTTAATATGAAGATTAAGACTGATTTCACTACTTGACACTCAGAGCTCTGAGAGGCACTACGAAGCAGTACAGGGTGGTTGAGAACATGGATTCTGGAGCTGGACTGGCTGGGTTTGAATTTTATTTTTACCTCTTACCAGCTATGTGAACTCGAGCAAGTTACTTCTCTCTGCATCTGTAAAATTGGGAATAATAATAGTATGTATCCAATAGGGTTGTCATGAGGCTTAACCTAGTTAGTAATTATAGAGTTTTTAGAACAATGCCTGGCACACAGGAAACAATATGTAAGTATCTTCTTTTGTTGTTATTGTTATATTATTATTTTATGCTTCATTCCAAGAAATGTAGTTGGAGTATTATACATTTTAGTAGTTAAGGTGAATATACTGCTAATCAGATGAATTATTCATTGATACCCACGCCTGTTATTTTATTTAAAAAATTTTTTTTATTCAGTAACTTGAGATTGCCATAATCTGGTTGTAGCCGTCCATGCTAGAACTAGGCTGTTAGCATTATAGAATGTTAACTCTAGGAAGAAACTCATAAAGGATGTAGCAGACAACTTGGTGATATTCAATAGGATCAATCTGGGAAATGTCTTTAGAGAAGGTGAGATTTGTGCTGGGCTTTGAGAGGTGGATGAGTAGGCTTAAGCACAAGCACACAGATGTGCATGGATGTCAAAGTACATGGAGTATTTTAAGACTTACAGAGCAAATGAGTGTGAATAAAATGTATGGATGGTAAATTGGAGAACTTGTAGCGGCAGAGAGCCCTTAAGAAGCTGTTCAGAGCCAAAATCAGGCACAGAAGATATTCAAATAATTGAGATTTTTTAATGCAAATTGAAGCTATTAAAATTTTTTAAGTAGAGGAGAGGAGAGAGGTAATATGTTATAAAGAAAGTATCATAGTTCTGTCAAGTTTGATCAGAGGGACCAAGTCTCGAAGACATTGAGACTGTTCAGTCATTATTCTGGTCATCTCATAGAAAGTTAATGAGGGCCTGAGCTGTGGTTCTTGTGGAGATAAAATCAATGAAATTTAGTGACTGGCTATGTTTGGGTTAGGAGCTGTCCAGTTTTATAACTGTCTCTTTTTGGTAGATAGAAGTATTACTTAGAATGAAGTGAATACTTTTATCTTCTGGAGATTCTGGAAGACTAGTAATCTGTACGTAGGACCCAGTGTTACAAAATATATTTTATCTTAATGGGAGTTGTAGTGCTCTAACTTAAAAAAAATTTAAGCAGTAGACCCCCTTTTTGAAATAAAATCTGAAACAGAAGTCACATATATAAAATAGGTAAAAATGGGGCTTGACTTTTCAGGGAAATGGAAGAAATGCTGCCGCTCATCCTTTCATTTCTGCTTCCCCTGTTCTTATTTAATTCATTTGAACTTTAAAAGTCTGTGGAAAACAATATGCAAACCACTGCTCTAAACTCTAGAGCAGAGTTTACGCATATGTCCAAGTGGGAACTTGTGTCGTAGTAGCTACAAATTTCCCATTTGTTTAAGTTTGAAATTAAGGAGTTCAAATGATAAGGTTTTAAGAATTTTACTCCTTTTATGAGGACAGTTTTTGGGCTTATTTTCTTAAAGCTCATATTCTAAAAAGATTATAAAGGTAAGACTGAACAATAGGCAAAAGCATGTAATTCAGTGATGTTTTTGAAAAGTAATTTTGATTGCTGGTGTATTTTGTTGGGTGGAGTCTAGTATATTTTATTAAATATGTACTGGATGTTATACTGGGTGTATACAAATATAAATACACTTCTGGTCTAGTAAGTGGGATAGACATTGTGTACAACTAATTAGTTATGAGTTGTACTTGGGGTAAGATTTATATCAGAGCACAAAGGATTCAGGTAAAGTTTCAAAGAGATTGAGCCTTGAAGGATGAGAGGTATTTTCTCTATCAGAGAGGTTGGGGTAGAGAATATTAGGGGGAGCAATATGAGCCAAAGAGCTGAGGAATGTATGTAACACCTTGTAAAGTACACTACACTAATATGTATGAGGCTATATGTAGGCAATAATTTTTTTTTTTCTATTTTGTTCACTCATTTTTTTCCAGTGGCACTAAGTAGGCACTCAATAAAAATTTGTTGAATAAATGAATTGGTTGATGATGTTAAATCTAGTCTATGTGTTTTGGTTGTTTTGGTGTTTTTAAAGTAGCAGAGATATAAAATTAAATTTGTTAGAGGAAGATGAGTTAAAATAAAATGGACCTACTTTTCAATGAGGAGTGAAAATTTATAGACTCCCTTGAACCAGACAATAACAAAAATACAAAGTTTTTGGTGTTCTTAAAAATCATAATATTAAGTTTTATGTTGCTGAAGTTTTCACATCTTATGACTGTGATGAAACAGTCTTAAGATGATTTATGTATTCACTTAGAAAGTTTTGAAAATATTCATGTAGTTTTTTTTTTGTTATGCCTTAAACTTGCATATTGCCATTTTCTTCATTAAACTAGGCAATAATTTTCTGTACTTTTTATAAGTTTGGCACATATTAAGTTATAGTTATTCTAAATAATATACAACTAAAGATTTCATGAGTATAAAAATTATAAAGTTGTTTGATTTCAGAAATGAGATTGTAGTTCCATAGGATGTTAACTTTGAGTTGTGAGGTTATCAAGTTGTGTAAGAGAATATGTTTTTTCCAATTCCTGATAAAGAATGAAAGTGTTGATCAGAAGCAAAACAGACTTTTTATTTCAGTGAAATTCTCAGGGAAAGGTTTTTTAAAGCCATATGTGACATACCTGACTTTAAAAATGTGAAGTCATAGAGAATTTAATGTGACACTATTCATTAGTTACTTAATTTACATCACTAAATTGAGTTGGGATATCCAGACATATAGTGATTGGATAAAATGAATTATTTTTCTAGACAAGTCTGGCTATTAATTATTTATGAAAACTATTTTTTTTGTTGTTTTTTTTTTTCAGGATATGACATGTCTACATTTATTAGGCGGTATAGTAGGTATTTAAATGAAAAAGCAGTTTCATACAGACAAGTTGCATTTGATTTCACAAAAGTGAAGAGAGGGTGAGTTAAACTTTCTTTTTTTTCCTGGCGTCTAATTGATTTGAATATTTAAAAATGTAAAACATAGGAATTATTAGATAATGAATTACAGAATTTCAGCCAGTTTTGAAAGATGAATCTCATTTTTCTTTGTTAGAGGTATGTCAAATACTTTTTGTACTAGGATTTTTTTTTAAGTTCTTTTTATTTTTATAACAGCTTTATTGAGATACAATTTACATAACATAAAATTAATCCTTTTAAAGTGTACAATTCAGTGGTTTTTAGTGTACTTACAAAGTTGTACAACATCACTACTATTAATTCTAGAATATTTTCATCATGTCAAAAAGAAATTCCACACCTATTAGCATTTTCCATTCCTCACTTACCCTAGACCCTGGCAACCACAAATCCACTTTCTGCCTCTATGGGTTTGCCAGTTCTGGGCATTTCATAAAAATGAAATTATATAATACATAGCCTTTTGTGTCTGGCTTCTTTCACTTAACATAATGGATTCAAGTTATAGCATCTTTATATTATATCAGTACTTCTTTCCTTTTCCTGGCCAAATAATATTTTATTGTATAGATATATACCACACTTTATTCATCGGCTGATGGACAGTCAACTGGTTTCTACTTTTTAGCTATTAGGAATAATACTGTTATGAATGTTAATGTACAAGATTTTGTGTGTATTATCTTTTCAGTTCTCTTGGTTATATGTACATAAGAGTGGAATTTCTGGGTCATGTGTTAACTCATGTTTAGCATTTTGAGGAACTGCCAAACTGTTTTTTAATGCTATTCAACCATTTTACATTCCCACTAGCAATGTATGAGGATTTTAATTTCTCCATATTTTTCTGTGGGTTTTTTGGGTTTTCTTTTTTTTTCTTTTTCCTCTTTTTTATTGTAGCCATCCTAGTGAGTGTGAAGTAGTATCAATACCCATGCTTTTGGTTTGCATTTCCATGACGGCTGATGGTATTAAGCATCTTTTTCTGTGCTTATTGGTCATTTGTATATATCGTTGGAAAAGTGTCTCTCCAGATCTTTTACCCATTTTTATTTATTTATTTTTTTGGTTTTGGCGGCTGGCCAGTAAGGGGATCCGAACCCTAGACGGTGTTGTTATCAGCACCGTGCTCTAACTAAGGAAGCTGTCCAGGCAACCCCTATTTACCCATTCTTAAATTGGGTTGCCTTTTCATTGTTGAGTTGCAAGAGGTTTTTTTAAAATGTATATTCTGGACACCAATTTCTTATCACATATGTGATTTGCAAATATTTTCTCTCCTCCTGTGGCTTATCTTTTCACTTTCTTGATGGTGTCCTTCGAAGAATGAAAGTTTTTACTTTTTATGTCCAGTGTATCTATTTTTTCTATTGGTTGCTTGTACTTTTGGCATTACATCTAGGAAATCATCATTTAATCCAGGCTCACGACTTACTCCTATGTTAGTCTAAGAATTTTCTGCTTTTAGCCCTTATGCTTAGATTTTTGATATATTTTTAATTAGTTTTTGTGTATGGTGTGAGTATTTGAGTCAGAATTCATTCTTTTTTATGTAGATATCCAGTTGTCCCAGCACCATTTTATGGAGACTATTCTTTTTCCATTGTATGATCTTACCATCATTGTTGAAAACGAATTGACCATAAATAAATATAAGGGTTAATTTCTGGACTCTCAGTTCTGTTCTGTTGATCTTTAGTTCTGTGAATCTGTATGTTTATCCTTATGCCAGTACCATACTGTCTTGATTACTGTTGTTGTAAGTTTTAAAATTGGGAACTCTTATCTTTTTTTTGAAAAATTGTTTTGGCTATTGTTGGCCCTCGCATTCCCATATGAATTTACTATTAGCTTGTCAATTTCTGTAGAAAAGGCAGCTGGAATTTTGATAGGGATTGCATTGAATCTATAGATCCATTTGGGAAGTATTGCCATCTTAACTCGTTAAGTTTCTAATCCGTAAACATGGGATGTCTTTCTGTTTATTTGGATCTTCTTTCATTTCTTCAAGTACTGTTTCATATTTAAGGTTTCTTTTAATCTTGAACGTAGAAGATGAATTTAGTTTTTATGCGCCCTTAAATAACAGTCATTTTAGCATATGAACTAATCACATGAATGATAAAATCAATGATTCTATACCTGATAATGCCTGATAGGCAGATTTTTTCCTGGGATATATGGTGAGACCTCAGGAAATAGTCACCAAAGACATCCTTAAGGGACAGTGATGACCCTTGCAACTATGAAAGCCTGCCCTGAGAGGAACCTGGCATCTGTAGAAATATTCTGGTGAATGCCATTCTGAGTGGCCCTGCTACTCAAAGAGCCCAGAGATTTAAGCAATTGAAATGTTCTTTTAAATTGTTCTCTTGAAATTTTAAATTGTGGGCCGGCCCAGTGGCGCACTGCTACAGTGCGCCGCTTGGGAGCGCGGCGGCGCTCCCGCCGAGGGTTCGGATCCCACATACAGACTGGTTCCTGCTCACTGGGTGAGCGAAGTGCAGGCGCAACACCGAGGGTTGCGATCCCGTTGCCGGTCCCGGTCCAGTATGGGCGCGACACCGAGGGTTGCAATCCGTTGCCGGACACGAAAAAAAAAAAGACAAAAAGGAAAAAAAAAAAGAAATGTTCTTTTAAATTGTTCTCTTGAAATTTTAAATTGTGGGCCGGCCCAGTGGCGCACTGCTACAGTGCGCCGCTTGGGAGCGCGGCGGCGCTCCCGCCGAGGGTTCGGATCCCACATACAGACCGGCTCCCGCTCACTGGCTGAGCGAGGGGTGGGCGCAACACCAAGGGTTGCGATCCCGTTGCTGGTCCCGGTCCGGTACGGTACGGGCGCGACACTGAGGGTTGCGATCTGTTGCCGGACACGAAAAAAAAAAGAGAAATTTTAAATTATTAGATGAAAGTAGAAAATTTAATAAAAATGTAGATGTAACCTCTTAGTTGTGCAAGAAATTTTAAAGCCGATCCTAAGTATTCTATCAGGAGGTGATTATTTTGGAATTTACCAAAACTAAGTGCTACAGGTTTTGTTTCATATATTTAGGCACTTTGTTGAAGATTGTGATGGAGAGGTTCATACTAGAATTCTGATTCTTAACCCCTGTGTCCTGTCTAATAAACAGTTTTCCAGTTGGCTTATGTTAATACTTCACCTATAAATTGTTCTATGTGTAGATTTCAGAATAATAAATTTTTAAAATAGTAGGGTTCCCCCCTCCCCAATTTGAGGGGCCAGTCTTGAGATTGAGGATAGTCGATGAATTCTTACCTAATTGAGCAAACTTTTTTATTGGATGAGAATAGCCCTTGATTATGCATAATAAAATTAGTATTGATTTGGGTAAATCAAGGAAGACTATAATTGAGTGTGAACCAAGAAAAAGCACAGAAGTACCATTTTACTCACACATGTACCATACATAAATATATATGTGTCTGATTGTAAAAAGAAAAAGGATATAGTGTACAAGTTGAGGGTTTAACAGCAATTAAAATTTATTGTATCATGGTAAAAACCTCATAGACTGTAAGTTTTAGAGATGACTCATAAATAGTAAAGTTTTACTTATGAAGATAATTTTTTTTTTATATTTAGAAAACTAGTAAACTTTCAAAAACTTCAGGCAGTGTAGCAACCTAACTTGTAAAAAATGTTAACATTTTGGCATATCTAATCATTTCTGTGTATGTAAGCAGAAATAAGTATGTGTATGAAGAAAATTACATAAAAGTTGGATCACATTCTTCAAAGGCTGTTTTCTTCCCCCTTACTATATATTTTGGACATTTTCAATGTCTGTACATGTTGATCCATCTCATTCTTATGAATGGCTGTAGAATTACGTTATAGATGTACATTTGATTTATTCCCTTTTTTTTAATCTTACAAAAGCAATGGATTGACCATTCCTTTTACATATGTTGTATTCTTAAGTGAATTTTCCTGTTGAATAAATTCTTAGAATTGATGGGTTATAAGATATACATTTAGCATTTTAACAGAAAATGCTAACTTACCCATTATAAAAGTTGTACCTAATTCTTAAGTTAAATAAGAGTTATAAATACCTCTTTCTCTATATTCTTCCATTGTCATAAAAAATGTATCTCATTAGGTATTAATTTTATTTTGGTTGATTGAATAATTGAATAAGTGGTGATATTGAGCCCCTTTCTCTCCCTTTTTAAAAATACCATTCGTGCTTTGTTAATTGTCTTCTGATGGCCTTTACCCATTTCTCTATTGGGTTTTTTGTTTGTTTGTTTGTTTTTGTTTTTTTCCGTGTCCGGCAACGGATCGCAACCCTCAGTGTTGCCCCCGTACCGGACCGGGGACCGGCAACGGGATCGCAACCCTCGGTGTTGCTCCCGCGCCTCGCTCAGCCAGTGAGCGGGAACCGGTCTGTATGTGGGATCCGAACCCTCGGGCGGGAGCGCCACCGCGCTTCCCAAGCAGCGCACTTATCCAGTGCGCCACCGGGCCGGCCCCAGGGTTTTTTATTCTTTTTCATTGTGTTGAATAGTGGTAAGTACTCACAGGCTTAGATGAATCTAGGTTTGAATTCTAGCTTTAATCCAGTGAAATGAAGAATTTTAGTAAGATACTTCAGCCAGAGTACTGACTTTAAAAAAAAAATGTATTTTGAAATAATTTCACATCCAGCAGTGTTGCAAGATTATTACAGAGAACTTTAATACACTTTACTCAGAATCACATTTTTAACATTTTGCTACATTTGCTTAATCGTATCCCCCCCCCACCCGTACACATTCACTCACACTTTTTTGTCTGAATCATTTGAGAGCAGGTTACATACTTCATGCCCTTTTATAGTTTATATCCCTTAATACTTTGATGCATTTTCTAAAGAACGAGGATCTTTTATTACATATCCATCAGCTTCTTAATTTTTTTCATGATACTTTTTATACAGAACACTGGGATAAATGGAGAAGACTGCTGAGGCTGAAGGGTTAAAGGATCAATATCTTGGCACACGTATAACCTTTTTCTATCATACTAGTATTGTGTGGCACAATAGGGAAGCCTTGACTTTAGCTCTGAGTTATTTCATCTGTAAAATAGTGATGAGGTTAATGGTACTTATCTATTAGGATTGTTATGAGAATTAATTAAGATATTGTATGTAATGTTTAGCACATGACAATAAGCTTTTTGCATATTAGGAAAATAAGTTGTCATGGGTTACAAATAGTTTCCCCCATTTTTTAACATTATTAAAACCTTTAAAATCTTAACATGATCAAAATTATAATTAATTTTATGGCTTTTATCTTTCAAGCAAGCTGAGAGTTAGCTTTTCTGTTTCCAGATGGTCAATTACCTATTCATGTATTCATTGGCTGTATTTATGGATTCAGTATTTTACACCTAAGTCTTTGACTCATTTGGAATATATCTTTGTTTTTTAAAAAAAGTGGAAGCCAATTATAATTTTTTAATAGAAATATAGGCTATTCAAAAATCAAAATGCATCACTACCCAGATAATTGTTAAACAGCTTTTTGCTCACATAAACTTACTTCTTTCTGTAAAGCCCTTTTTTTTTTCCTGGTGAATTCTTAGTCATTCTTCAAGAATTCATTCAAACACCATTTCTTTGAGAAAGCCTTATTTCTGTTATTAAATTGTATATGACATTGTTCCCTCCAGGAGGACAGTATAGTCTTACTTGTGTTTTTACCTTCAGGACTTGCCAGTGTCTAAACATAGTAGATGTTTAATAGTTTTTGAAAAGGTGACTAGATGAATTTGTAAGCAGCACATTAAATGGTTCTTTGAAAAATGGATCCAATAAATTGCCTACAGATTTATCTTTTCAGCTGTTAAACAATGGTCCCTTTATTTTCTTTTTGTTTAGCTTTCCATTTTTTGGTAGCATTAACTCATCATGTTGAATTATCTTGTAATCTAAATTGGTACAGTCTGGAGTGACAAGACATTGTTGTTTAACAAGCGAAAAAGAACAATCCAGGTATTGTATGTGAATAAGGACATGGAATGCAAGCCTTTAATCCGTTTCTCTCTTATATTTGGGAAGCAAGTATCTGAATTTAATTATAATGCATTTAAGAAATTGTAAAATCTTGTGTTGTGCATGGAGTATGAATTGTCATGTATTTGGTCTGAATCATATTCAAGCGTTTGGGTTTGTAAATTATTTGAGTTTCTTTGAATTCTGATATATAGTAACAACTTTAAATTGCTCAAAATTAATCCTTTTAGGGAAGAAATGATGCAGAGGCTAGTGAGAGAGGCAGGAATCAAAAATGTCCCCTAAATTTCTGGTGTAAGTCACTGGGAAGGTGGCTTCTTCTACTGGGAAGATTTTGGAGGGAAGTGATAAAGAATTAAGGATTTAGTGTGGGAAGAGTAGTTTTGAGATGACTGTGATTCATACGGATTGAGATATCAAGTAGGTAATTGGACATACTAACTTGGAACTGGAAAGTTCTAGGCTAGTGATATAAATATGTCAGTGGCATTTTGGTAATTTTGGCCTTGGGAATGACAAATAACCTGGACAGTAAGTATAAAATGAGAAAAAAGGGCCCAGAAATACCTTGAGATACATCAACATCTATTTTAGAGGATAGGTAGAGGATGAGGAGCCAACAAAAGCGACTGAACAAGTGATATGTGGGAAGAAAACAAGGAGAGAGAGGTGTAGTGAATGGTAAGAGTATTTCATAAATGAAGGAAACTTTTGAATGATGCAGTCAGATGAAGGTAGAAATGTACCCATTGGAGAAGCAACATGGTATTTCCAGGTGACCTAGAGAAACTTAACTGGGGTGGTATGAGTGAGGTTCATATTAGAATGAACTGAAAAATGAAAGTGAGGAAGTGTTAGCTCTTTTAATAAGTATGCATGACTCTGCAGGGGAAGTGGTAGCTGGATGGGAGTAGGGGATTAATGGAATGAGTGTGTATGTTTTTAAAGAATAATGATTCTAGAGCCTTTGCTTGCAATCATGGGAATGATTGAGTTTAAAAGAACAGATAAATGGACTACACTGGTCAATGTGGTAGCTACTTGCCTCGTATGGCTATTTAAATTTAAATTGATTAAAGTGAAGTAAAAAGTTTATTTCCTCAGTTGCATCAGTCACATTTCAGATGCTAAGTAGCCACATGTAGTCTGGCTATCAATTATAATGGGCAGATATAGAACATTTTCATCATTGCAGGTAGTTCTTAGACAGTGCAGTGTTAGAGAAAGGGAGGACAACCATAGGACTGTGACAGAGTGGGATCCAGAATACCTGTGTGAGTAATATTTACATTTGATAGAAAGAGATAGACTTACTCCATAGTAATAGGAGCAGACCAGAAAGATGTAGTTTGAGTGGCAAGAAGACCAGACGATCTGTTTTTGTTGTTTTCTATTTCTGAATGAAATATTTTGGAGCTGAGAGTTTTGTTTATTGGGTGTGGGGAAGCAGGGAAGTAGAAAGAGGTCTGATGATTCTTAGGAGAGGAGTTTACTAGAGAAGGCAAAGAGGACTGCTGGCAGTGTTGAATATTGATGATCATGAATTTATAGTATTGCCAGTTTGTTCTGTTGCATGGTTTTCTTTACCAGCACTCAGCTGTGTGTGTACAGGCATGGATGAGTTAAGTTTTTGCTCAGCCAGTGTTGTGAATTTGCCAAATGACTACAAGGGAAGAAAAGAGGCACAAGAAAGTTAAGGGTTTTTGCAAGGGAATGATCATAATAATGATCTATGGAATTTATTTATTTATTTATTTTGGGGGCAGCTAGCTGTTACAGGGATCTGAACCATTGACCTTTGTGTTGTCAGCACCATGCTCTCCCAAGTGAGCTAACTGGCCAGCCTCCATCTGTGGAATTATTAGCTAGATGAAGAAAGTGAAAATGAGAAGGGATAGTGGTGAAGTTGATACTTTAAAGTTTTTGATGAGGCCAAATAATTTTTACCTTGGGGATACTTGACCAAAGCAGCTGGGAGGTTAAAAGATTGTTTTCATAGAATAAGGGGTCTGAATTTAGTCTTTTTTTCAAAATCTTTGGGGGCATTAAGATTAGGATCTGACCATAGGAATAGGGGCTGCTGTAAAGGGACTGTGAGATCAAGATGTCGATCCACATAGATGTTGAAGTTAACCGAGAAAGACTGACCTAATGTTTAGGTCTTATGTTATGGGGAAGTGCCCAGAAAGTCAAAAAGTGATTTGAGTAAGAAGAGAGGAAGAATTAAAAGGGAACTAATGGTGACTGATAAAATTAGTGTGTGACGTGCGTGAGAACAAAGAAAGGCTTTCAAAGAGGAGATGGTGTCTTCGTCCCAAATTCCAGTATCTGGTACCAACCAAGGTAATTTAGTACTTGAACAGGCATTTGTGGGTTAACATAGGGAGAGTTAGGCTAAAACTAGTCAACAGTTGCCTACCTAAGGCAATCCATTGTTTTTTGTTCATTAAACTCTGTTGTGGGGCCGGCCCGGTGGCACACTGCTATAGTGCGCCGCTTGGGAGTGTGGTGGCGCTCCCGCTGAGGGTTTGGATCCCACATGCAGACCGGTTCCCGCTCACTGGCTGAGCGAGGCGCGGGAGCAACACCGAGGGTTGCGATCCCGTTGCTGGTCCTGGTCCGGTATGGGGGCGACACTGAGGGTTGCAATCCGTTGCCGGACACGGAAAAAGACAAAAAAAAAAAAAAAAACTCTGTTGTGTCCTGCATAGCAGTACTGTTGCTTTTCATAGCTTGTTTTCCTGGTTGATGGTATATCTCAGGGTAGAGCAGCTACTTTTAAGTATGGGTCATTTGTAAATTAGGAAAAGCCTACATATTTTTTTGGAAATGCCTTACTGTTCTGCCAAAAGGTTATGAAAAGCACTCACTATTTTGGAGTCTGATACACATGGATTTACATAATGGTCCTACCACTGACTAGTTAGTTCTCTTACCTTGACAAATCATATAACCTCACTGAACCTAAAATTTTATCATCTGTAAAATGAGACAAGAATATCTGTAGGGTTTTTGTGAAGATTTGAAAAACAAATATTAAGCCCTTAATACCAACCCTGATATATAATGAACACTTACTGTTAGCTGTGTATCTTAGCCCCAATACCTTTAGTGGTTTTTTTTTTTTTACACCGGTTTTGTAAAATTCTAGTTTATTTGGTATTGATAGTATATCTCAATCTTGAGGAATATCTAACCTGTTTGGAAATATTTGACATAAATTTTTTTTATTGAAACATAATTGATTATACATATTTGTGGGGTTCAGAGTTGAATAACACTGCCTTTTAATAGAATATTTTAATAAAACAAGCCTCTTAAATATCTCTTTAACAGCCAGATTAGAATGACCTGGTAAAATTATTCTTTATTTTGTAATAAAGTGGTTTTAGTTATAATTGTCTGTATTACAAGACACTGCTGATCAAGTTATGAATTAAATACTTCAACTACAGTGCTCTGAAGACTTGAGTTCAATTCCTGACTTCATAATATTTAACCGTTTAGTGACTTGACGCAAGTGATCCTTTTCTATTTGAACCTTTTTAGGAAAAAAAATCTTTAAAACTACCCTTTATACACAAGTGGTTGTGAGGATCAGATGGATGACTGACTCATGTGAAAAGTGCACTGTAGACCTGGCTATGTAATGTAAAGTTTTGTTTTTGTCTTCTGCTTTTTTAAAAAGAACCTTCTTTTTCTTTTTAGTTTTAAATGAGCACCTTAATATTGGATATATAGTGTTGCCTGGTTTCGTTTTTTCTATGCGTTCTTTGAGCTTTCAGGTTCAATAATGACCCAAAAATATGTGATGTTTCATAGCAACTTTGTTCTCTGTGTAAGTAGAGAACCAGATGGGATTTCTAAATGTAAATTTAATAACAAATTCAATTTTTTTTTAATATAACAGGGCTGATGGAGTTATGAGAACAATGAACACAGAAAAACTCCTAAAAACTGTACCAATTATTCAAAATCAAATGGATGCACTTCTTGATTTTAATGTAAGTTGATTATGCTTTTATAATTTATGATTTAAAAAAATTTAAATAATTATGATCGGAGTTTTTATTCTCAAGTTTTCATAGACTATAGTTTTTCACACTAATATCGTGTTTGGCTAAGGATTTTCTGTAGATGTTATGCCACGTCAAATTATTTTTTATTTTTACAATTGTTTTAGATTTACTCTAATTACTTAGGTGCTTTCCTACTTCTAGAATTTTAGGATATACAAGCTAAAGAAAGTGATGGGGTAAAAGGATTGATCTGAAAATCTACTTTCTTTTGATAATGGTTTTTAGATTTTTAAAATGTGTAAGGATTTTCTTTATGAATAGCCAATGTAATTTTTCACTTTTGTCTGTTTTGTAAGACTTGAAGCATGACAGTTATTCAGAAATAAAGGGAAGTTCAATAGCACTTATAATAGCCTGTTATGTAGCAGTTACCCAAAGGCAGTGTTCCCTCGAATTTTTGTTTTAATGACCATTTCTTTTCTTTTTTTTTTTTTTGTCCTTTTTGAGACTGGCTGCACCGCGCTCAGCCAGTGAGCGCTGTGAGCGCACCCATCATCCGTATATAGGATCCAAACCCGCGGCTGGAGCTCTACTGCGCTCCCAGCGCCGCACTCTCCCGAGTGCGCCACGGGCTCGGCCCTAATGACCATTTCTTGAACCATGTTGCCTGCTTTGTCATTTGTTTATAATATATTAAAAGTTAGCATTTTCAACTCTGTTCTTTTTTTTGGCATCTAAAGATACTTTATTGTAGAGATTGCAAGTGCAAGTTAGTGAACGAAACTGTGACAATTTCATGCTGAGATTGATTTTTCCTTTAACTTGTGCTATTAATTGCTGGTCTTTAAGTGTCTTCAAGGCAGAAACCAGGTCTGTTTTGTTCCCTGCTCTGTCCCTATTGCCTAGTAATGTGTGGCACATAGTAAGTGTTCAGCGTTCAATAAATGAATCATGTAGGTGTTTCATAGACTAGAACAGGGGTTATCAAACTATTGCCTGTTTTTGTATGGCTTGTGAGCTGAGTGGTTTTTACATTTTTAAATGGTTGAAAAGAATTGAGAAAGAATACTTTGTGACAGGTGAAAATTATATGAAATTCAAATTTCAATGTCTGCAATGGCGTTATTGGAACACAGCCAGGCTTGTTGGTTTATATATTGTCTGTGGCTGCTTTTGTGTTATAATAGCAGAGTTGAGTAGTTGGGACAGATACCATATGGCCCACAAAGTCTAAAATATTTATTATATGGCCCTTTACAAAAAAAAGTTTTGCTGATGCATGTTGTAAAGATACAGGGAATTGATGTAATTAAAGAGCATTAGTTTGTTTTGTTTTGAGGCTCTAAAGGGTCCAACCGTGAATTTTTTTCTCTTAACATATTGTGTGTACCTTTATAAAATTAGCTATTGTTTTCAATGTCTGTATTATACTTCAGTGTATGTAACAATTTACCTGATCATCACATTGATAGATATTTAGAGTTTTCCTGATTTTTTTTATCTAAACAGTGGGGAAGGGGGTATGTGTATCTATTCAATTGTAAACCTATTTCTATAGGGTTAATGCCTAGAAAAAGAATTTGGTAGTCCAAAGAATGTAAATATTTAAATTTTTAATAAATATTGCCAACTTGCACTTTAAAAGAGTTGAGCCAGTCACTGAAAATAGGCACCTGTTTTTCTTTATTCTGATCAGCACTGAGTAATATCTATTATTTTGATATCTACTAGTCAAGAAAGGATATTTCAGTAATTTAATTTGATCATTATATTTTAAATTACCTGATAAGTGGAGTTGAACTTCTTTTCACATGTTGTTAGCCATATGTATTTTTTATTTTGTAAGTTGTCTTTCATTTACTTTATTCTCCCTGTATAGTGGAAATCAACCCTGTTACACGTTCTGCAAACATTTTTCACCAGCTTGTTGTTTACCGTTCAATGTTGCACTTATGTTTTTCTGTACCTAACATATGTTAATTTTCATGTACTAGATATTTGTGTTATCTAAAAAAAGAACTTAGAGTTAATTTGATCTATCCTTTTGATTCGTTTCTTGAGATAAAACTAAAGGTATTTCCAGTATTCTTGATAGATAAATGAGAGCTATTTTTTGTTACAGCAAAATTCAAGAATAATAATAGTAAATATTGATCATTTATGTGCTAGCTACTGCTCCTGGCTCTTTACAATCATTGTATCATTTAACTTTCCCAGTCACCATATGAGTAGAAGTGCTATTATCATTACCATTTTAAAGGTGAGTTTGTTTCTAATATTGGGAAAAGGTATATTTTTAAAAAATACATACCTTCCACCTACCTTAGCTCAGTGCCTTAGTAATTGTAGTAGTCATTTAATAAATACTGATTTTAGAATATTCAGTAAACATTTCATGAGTAAAAGTGTACCACCTAGAAATGGGCTTCATTTTGCAATTAGAAGTATTTAATGTTGAGATGAACTTATAATTAAAAGACTTTTCAGATATAGCCTAGGGATTTCAATAGTTAAATCCTAAATGACATCACTTTTGTCCTCAATGACATATTTCTGAACTAAATGGAATGTTGTAGGATTTTTGTTTGCCTGTGGCTTTTACACAAACCTGAACTCTTTACTAAGGTTTCTGTACTATTTGGCTATTTATGTATTAGAGAAAATAAATGTCTTTTTTCTCCAATATGCCTAAATGTTATAATTTACTATATTTTAATGTGAAGGTAGTCTGTTTGTCAGTGTCATTTAAAACACAAGGTTGGCTAATCTCATTTTCCAATTTTTCCCCAGGTTAATAGCAATGAACTTACAAATGGGGTAATAAATGCTGCCTTTATGCTCCTGTTCAAAGATGCGATTAGACTGTTTGCAGCATACAATGAAGGAATTATTAACCTGTTGGGTAAATACTGCTGTATCCTAATAACATTTTATTTCTTATCTTGTGTCATATTAAATAATATAGATTGAGTTATTATTACTTAAAGCTGCCTAAAAATTCATTGAGGTATATTCATTCATTCATTGTAACAATTTGGAGAAAAGAATTTTACACCTGATTATATATGCAAGTGATTAAATACTTATTGTAAAAATCAGAATGTTCAGCTAGGTGAACATTATATTTTTTAGACATGTATGTTTTTTCCTATCCATTTTATTAATTTTTAGAAATATAAAAATGCCTTAAAAATTAAATTGGATTAAGGTAGTAAATTTTATGTTACGTGTATTTTACCACAACAAAAAAAAAGGAAAAAAATCAAAATTAGTTGTCCCAGAAAAATCTTATTTCCTCGTAATTTACTTTGTAATGAACTTTGTAAAATTAAGAGCGCCTTTTACTTTTGAGGAATTTTAAGAATTTATGGTGGTTTATTGTGTATTCAGTATATGTGAGTACAGTTAATTTTGCTTAGAAATACTCACTTATTTGTGTGGGATTTGGATGAAGTAGACAAGGAAGTGTCTGTAAACGGTGCCAAAGTACCAGGTGTCAGATGTTAAGTATATTTACCTCTAATGTGCTCATTCTCTCTCCATCCTCCCAACGCCCTTTTAAAAAAGTATTTATTTAAATCTGGCTTTCATATATTTAGGGATGCTTTAATTTCATGTGGATAGGGAAATTGGGCTTATTTTTTTTTACAATTGTAAAATGAAGGGTTTTCTTTTCTATGAAGCTTAGGAAGGCATTATCTTCGATCCAATGATTGGTATAAATAAGCTCTTTAATGTTTATATAATAAATTTAAATGAGCTTTCCCAAGTGATATTTGGACATAGTAAAGTTGCCATCTTAATATACTGTTAGTAAGAATATTCAGAAATAGATGCTAGTGCTGCTTTAAATGGAGTAAAGTGTGATGTATTTATATGCAAATATATATTTAGGGAATTATAGGGAAGAATAATTGTGGAACAAACTAGTACTATGAATAAAGTCAGGTAATTTTTCTATTCTTGATGTAATAACACCTCTATTCTAATTTGCTTTAAACACCTACACTAATTTAACACTGATTTTTTTTTTTTTTGTAGGATTTCTGTGTTCTCTGAGAGACCTATATGATCTCTTTGTAGCTATTACTTAGTCTTTTTTCTTTTTCAAGTATTTTTATGTGAATAAAGGTATGTTTAAACTTACTTTTGGCAGAAAAATATTTTGACATGAAAAAGAACCAGTGCAAAGAAGGTCTTGACATCTATAAGAAGTTCCTGACTAGGATGACAAGAATCTCAGAGTTTCTCAAAGTTGCAGAGGTAAAGTGTCTTTAAGTGACTTTGCCTCCTAACTTGCTTTTTGGATTTTGAAGAAATCACCCATTATCCAAATGAAAGAAATATCTTAAAGGTAGTGAAGTATATGCAAGGGTACTTCAGAAAGTTCATGGAAAGATTCATATTATCTTTTAATTCTGATTTTCCACAAACTTTTTTTTTTAATTTTTATTTTTTAATTTTATTTTGTCAATATACAATGTAGTTGATTATTGTGGTCCTCCCTCCTCCCTCTCCCCCCTCCCTCCCAACAACCTCATATCTGTTCATTTGTCATATCAACTTCAAGGAATTGTAATTGTTTCCACAAACTTTTTGAAGTACCATCGTATTCAATCATATTAATATACTATACTGAATTCTGTGCTGTGATATGAATATACTATTGAATAAAATTTATGTGCGTACATAATTCAGTATTGAATATTGAAAGGTAATCTGTTTTACATTATTTACTTCCCTAGAAAATTAGGTAGGTGGCATACAGCGGTGGCAGTGATTTTATTTTATTTTTTTATTTTTTTGTTTTTTTTTTTATGGTGGCTGGCCAGTATGGGGATCCGAACCCTTGACCTTGATGTTGTCAATAACGTGCTGTAACCAAGTGAGCTAAGCCAGCTCTGTGGCAGTGATTTTTATGTTTGGAATTAACCATTTATTTGAGCAGGCTTATTTTGTTAAATGTGGTAGAGAATATTCAGTGTCAGTGCAAGCCCCTTTTCTCCAGTGACATTTGCAAATGGAGACATATAGTTTAAAATGTTTTTGTTCCCCTATAGAAGTGAATTTTGTATATTTATTGTTTATTGTTGATTAAAAAAACCATGAATGTAGGTTTATAGGATAATCTAATATTGCAAATTTGTTTAAAAAATAACTTTCTGAAATCGTCACAGAAGGAAGTTGTGGTAATGCTTGCAGGCATTATCTTGTTAAAATTTTTTGTTTGTTTTCCCTTTCTTCACTGTCCCTATGAGTGATGTCTTCCTAGGATAATTTGATTACTCCAAAGTAGTTCCTCTGGAACTAGCAAGTTAGTAATTCTAGGCTCTATTACTGTAGTGATATTTTATTCTGCAACAGATGGAATAAGATAGAACACAATGGTGAGAACTTTGAAGAAAATAGCTTTTTTGTTAATTAGCTCTTTTATGAAATCTACTGAAGTTTATTATGTATTTAAAGATCTTTCAAGGAAAAATCAGTGGTTTTTTTCTATTTCTTTAAGGTCAGTCACATACTAACACCAGAAGAAGGTAGTGTTTATGCTGAGATTCCAGTAAATTCTTTAAATAAGTTGTAATCTGTTCACTTTCCCCTTTGGCCTCTTATGATCTTTACATTCAGTAGTTATAGTTACTGACTTAAATTTTAAGGCCTCCATTACCTCTAGATCTGCTTATCTTACTCTGACGTGTGATAGACCATCTGCTCCACATGATCTAAAAAATATGACGACTCTCCTGCCCCAAAATATTTTGTCACGAGACTGTCTTTGTTCTTACAGCTTCATTAAGAGACTTTAGTTCTTGCAAGACTAACCTCTTCAGATGTGTTTGAAGGGGACAAATGTATCAGGCAGTGATTAGCTGTTAACATCTGATTATAAATTAATTTCTTTTTTGCTGGAAATTACCTAGTGCATTATGAGAGTGTATTGAGATTGCTTTGTGGAGACAGTTATATCCTGGTTTGATATCACTTGATGTTTGTATAAAACCCAGCCTACCTAACTGAACATAAGTTTTTAAAAGTTTCACCTATGGTAGTTGCCAGGGAAGGTATATTTTATGGAGAAAAACAAAGTTGATGCTATCAGGTTAATTTCTCAACTTCTTTTTATTCCCCAACGAACTTGTTCATGGTTAGCTATTCTTGTTCTTGCTCTGTAGTGTTTTTATCATATGACACATAGAAGAAATGGATTTTTCAGATTGTAACAAGGTATCCTATTTAGGTGGTCAGAAGACATGTGATGGTAACTAAATAGACTTGATGAATTTCCAATTCTAGTTCTCCTGATGTTAAAACTTTTAGAGCCATCAAGTAATATCTAAGCCATTAGAAATACAGAGTGATGTCTTTGGAGATGAAATATTTTTCTGATTTTTAAGAAGTCTGTCTGAAATATTAACTGAACTTGCAATAAATGTTAATGCCCAGTTTTTATTTATAAAACATCTTTATTATAGTTTATCTGTTAAATACAATGCTGTTTCTTCTTACAGCAAGTTGGAATTGACAGAGGTGATATACCAGATCTTTCACAGGTAAGTGTATTGTTAAAATATCAATCTATTGTCTGTTGTATATTGCTAGGTGTGGAGTACTAAGGTGAGTAATATATAGCACCTACTGTCAAGGAGATTAATGTAATTTTTTTTGACAGATTTTAACATTTGGATATATTGCTGAAGATTGTTCTGGCATTATTACCACATAAAATGATCTGCTCATCTCTTATATTTGTGGCCCTTCCCACTACAGTACCAGTTCTTTATTTATTCCCTTTAATCTCTTTTTCTTTCCCATCATCATCATAAAAAAAAGAAAAAAGAAACCTCTGGGAACTAAACTTAGAGAATGGTATTTAAGAAGAAATTTTCACTTATTTTTTGCAGGATTTATTTTTCCTGTTTTAAACTTTCAACTTTGTTTGACTCAGGAAGGAGTATTAAATAGGGGTAAAACTCAAGACATAATATTGGGTAAAGACAGCAGGCTTTGTGGTGAGACTGTTGAAATTTGAGTCACGGCTGTGCCATTAGCTGACTCTGTGACTGGGGAAGTTACTCTCTGCTTCAGTTTCATATTAGTAAAATGGAGATATTACAGTACCTATCTTATGCAGTATTTCGGGGTATTAAATGAGTTAATACCTAATACCTTAAAAAATATTACGAGCACTTAGCTATTATTAAATTGATTTTATCATCTCCAGAAAATTTCTAGGAAAGAAACTATATACCTACAGGTTTTTCTGGCTTATTCTCAGGGTTTTGTTTACTGAGTATTAAGAATGAAAGTACCTGGCATAAACTGTCCTTCTAATACTTGTATCAACTCTGTCTTTAATGGTTGACATCTTTTCTACCTTGTTCTGAATTGTTCTGGGACATCTTTTAAACACCTTTTTGTTAATGGTTCTTATTGTGTTTCTCTGTATTCAGTTATTCTGATTCATGCCTCTGACCTCAAGGCTAAGACTAGTTATGGGTCATATGTAAATAAAGCACTCCTGTATAAATTGGCTTCATTACAATCAAGTACATTATTCTGGGCTAAATATAAGAAGAATCATTGCTTGAATAATTATAGTATTAAAATGATTTGGCAACTTTAGATTCCTCCATTGACCATCCCATTTGTCATTCCAGTTTCTCCTATATTTTGTTTAAAAGTCATCAGCCTCAGGCCAGATGTAGAAGTTAAAGGCTGTCTTCATGTGTCTGTACTTTAATATTCATTGTATTGTAATTGATAGGGTTGGCCAGCCTCTGTCTTTCCCTCCCCTCTTTATTGGTTATTTCTGAGTAAAGGGGACTTGCCAGGCATTCTTTTGGTGATTCAGAAATTTTTCAAAAGTAAGCTAAAACAGAGCTGTGATGGTAATGCAGAAGAGTGGAAATTTGAGATTATTCTTTTTTGTTGTTATAAATTGCTCTTTTTAAGATGCGAAGCATCACATTTCCTTCATTCTTTGTAATGTGGGTTTGACTTCTAAAAAATAGGCAGATATATTTAGAAGGTACTTTAGAAATGAGTGTCATTACTTGGTAGTTCAATATTTCTAAGCCAACAGCTTAGACCTTTCAGAAAAAAAGTAAACTACAGTTTAAAAGACCACAGTTTTAATCTAGGATTACATAGCATAGTAGTTAAATATGTAGTCTTTAAGGTCAGGTATATCTTAAGCCCTATTTTGTATGCTGCTGTGTATCAGATATGTGATCTCGGACAAATCACTTAATTTTCACTGTTTTAGGTTGTTTATCTGTAAAATGGATATACTAGTAGTGTCTGCCTCAAGGATTCAGTGATTACATGGCAAGGTAGCTAGCTAGCAAAGTGCCTGTTGTGTTAGAAGAGCTTTTTAAATGTTAATCACTGTCACCATCCTCATCATTATCTCCCCTAGAAGCTCTTGAGACTACTCTTTGCCTGCTAATTAGCAGATATTTTGCTGGAGCTCTGGGAAGGGCATATGTGTTCTCAGTTAAACCTAGAAGTCAATCTTACAATCTACTATTTGGTTTTAAATTATTTTCCACTGTATTTCCCTTGTGCTAAGGTCTTGGTATATAGAGGGTATATACAGAGAAAATACTGGATGATAGCAATTGTTAAGGTCATAATTGGTAAAGAAATTAGATAGGTATTGCTTCTTCTAACTTTTTAGATTCTGTAACCCAAAAACCTTATCTCAAATCCTAAAGAATATATGTAAATAAATGCATTTGCTGATGCATTTATTCACTTACAGACAGTGAGCAGTTCTTCCTTTGCTCGCTGAAAAGATTTCCTTTTGAAAATAATTAGCTCTTTCCTATATTAAGTTGAGATTTGACCTGTAGCCTGAGATATTTTTAAACCAGTCTTTCATTAAAAAAAATTGTAGTAAATAACCATTTCAGTGAGGTTTGGTAAACATGAACATCTATGCAACCAACACAGCATTTAAGACGGAGATCAATTCCATCAGCACAATCCTCATGCCCCCATTCCACTCACCCCTTACCCTCCTCCATACACAATCACTGTTTTGATTTCTAATAGCATAATTTTACTGGTTTTTGAACTTAATATGAATAGAGTGATGCAAGTACTGTTACAAGTACTGTATTTACTCTTGTGTCTGGCTTCTTTTGCTCACCAGTGTTTTGAGATCTGTCCATGTAGTTGAATGTACCATTAATTCATTCTTCTTTATTGCTGAATAGTATTCCATTATGTGGATTTACCTCAATTTGTCTATGTATTTTCCAAATGACTTTTGGATATATTTGCAGTTTTTGACTGTTGTAAATAAAGCTACTTAAAATATTCTTTTTTTCCCCTAAGAAGTACACTTTATCTTTAGAACACTTTTAGGTTTATAGAGAAATTGAGCAGAAACTACAAGATGATTTCCACACCCTCTCCCACCACCAAAATTGATATACTATTATTAGCTCGGTTTTACATTAGGGACCCTTCTTTGTGTTGTACAGTTTTATGGGTTTTGCAGATGCCTGCTGTCATGTATTCTCCATTACAGTATCATACAGAATAGTTTTGCTGCTCTAAAAATCCTGCGTGCTTCACCTGTTCATTCCTCCCCCATCTCTCCTCCCCTGAAACCCTGGCATCCACTGATTTTTTTTTCCCCCATTACCTCAAACATTTATCATTTCTTTGTGTTGGGAACATTCAGATCCTCTCTTCTAACTAATTGAAAGTATACAATAAATTGTTAATTATAGTCACCCTACAGTGCTATAGAACACTAGATATTATTCCTCCTCTCTTGTTGTAATTTTGTGTCTCTTAATACATTAACCAATCTCTCACTATCCCCTCTCCCCCCTCCCCTTTTCAGGCTCTGGTAACTCATTCTCCTCTCTAGTTCTATGTGGTCAACTTTCTTGGCTTCCACATATGAGTGAGAACATGGGGTAATTCTCCTACTGTTCTGGCTTACTTTGCTTAACATGATGTTTTCCAAGCTCATCCAGGTTGTCGCGAATGACAGGATTTCATTCTTTTTTAATGGGTGAATAGTATTCTATTATGTATATATGTCAGTTTCTTTATTCATTCATCCATTGATGGACACTGGTGTTGACTCTGTATCTTGACTGTTGTGAATAGTGCTGCAGTAAACACGGGAGTGCAAATATCTCTTTGATATACTGATTTCCTTTTCTTTGTGTATATATCCAGTAGTGGAATTGCCAGATCATACCAATCATTTTATTTGTCATTTTTAAAGGAACCTCCCAACTATTTTCCATAATGGCTATACTAATTTACATTCCCCCGAACAGTGTATAAGAGTTCGCCTTTCTCCACATCTCCATCAGCATTTATTTTCTTTTTTTATAATAGCCATTCTAACTGTAGTGAGATGATACTGTGGTTTTGATTTAGTGATGTTGAGCACTTTTTTATATACTTCCTGGCCATGTGTATGTCTTCTTTTGAGAAATATCTATTCAGCTCATTTGCCCATTATTTGATCAGTTTATTAGGGATTTTTTTGCTGTTGAGTTGTTTACGTTTCTTGTATATCCCTTGTTGGATGCACAGTTTGCTAACGTTTTCTCCCCTTCTGCATGTTGTCTCTTCACTCTTTTTTTCCTCTGCTGTACATAAGTTTTTTAGTTTGACATAATCCCATTTGACTATTTCTGCTTTGTCACCTTTGCTTTTGAGGTCCCCTTCATAAAATCTTTGCCCAACCCGATGTCCTGAAGTATTGCCGTATGTTTTCTTTTAGCAGTTTTCATGATTTCAGGTCTTACATTTAAGTCTTTAATCCATTTTGAGTTGATTTTTGTATGTGGTAAGAGACAGGAGTCTAGTTTCATTCTTCTGTATATAGATATTCATTCAGTTTTCCCAGCACCATTTATTGAAGATACTATCCTTTCCCCAGTGTATGTATATTCTTGGCACCTTTGTCAAAAATCAGTTGACTGTAAATACACGACTTTATTTCTGGGTTCTCTAAATTTCTGTTTTATTGGTCTGCATGTCTGTTTTTATGCCAATACAATGCTGTTTGGGTTACTATACCTTTGTAGGGTATTTTGAAGTCAGGTAGTATGATGCCTCCAACCTTGTTCTTTCTGATCAGGATTGCTTTACCTATTCAGGGTCTTTTGTAGTTTCATATGAATTTTAGAATTGTCTTTTTTATTTCTGTGAAGAATGTCATTCGTGTTTTGATAGGGATTGCATTGAATCTATAGATTGCTTTTGGTAGTGATATTATATTAGTCCATTTCTGTTGGTCATAGCAAAATTCAAGAAACTGGGTAATTTATAAAGAAAATGAAACTTATTGCTTACAGTTTCAAAGGCTGGGATTTCTTCTGTATCTAAGTCCAAAGTTCAGGGAACATATCTGGTGAAGGCTTTCTTTGGTGGTGACTTCAGTGATAGCAAGGCATCACATTGTGAAAAAGGCAAAGCAGAAACAGAGAGAGCAAGCTCCTCCTGCACTCTCTTTTTAAAGCCCTCAGAACCATTCCCATGACCACCTTTTTTTTTTTTTATTTTGTCAATATACAATGTGGTTGATTATTATGACCCATCACCGAAACCTCCATCCCTCCTCCCTCTCCCCCCTCCCACCCGAGAATGTCCTTTCCGTTTGCTTGTTGTAACACCTTCAAAGAAATTGTAGTTGTTATATCTTCTTCCCCTCCCCCCCCCCGCCTTTTTTTTTTTTTTTTTTTTTTTTTTGTGGTGTTTTTTTTTTTTTTTTTTTTTTTTTTTTTTTTTTT